CAGGGAAGGCTTTTGCGCAGCCAAAGCTCTAACATTGAGTTACGATAAACGCCGTGCGCCATGAATTATATTACACTTGGATCGATTTTACCCGCCCAACTTACCGCTCTTATGGAGCATAGGATCGTAGGATCATTTGTCGGGCCACATTAGCATTTAACTGTATTCATATTTCACTCGTACTCATGACGACGAACTGTGGAACCGGTTTCGAAAATGTACATACTAACCCTTACTTCGTCCCCAAGAAACTTGATGGATGTCGAAACAAATTTACTAAGATGTTCATTTCAAATGTATATCCAGAGCCACATGCAAACAGAAGTGTTTAGTCGGTGAATGCCATAGTTAATATCGCCGACCACAACTGACAGGACATGGGGTCCGTGAATCAACTATATAAAGCTGGACTTATACACGCCCAGTGACTTAAGATATCCGGTCGCAATTCGAAGCTACTCGGGTCTGCGGTTTGTTGTGGCTGGCCAACGACTGCTAATAAACCATCCCGATATCTCTTGTTTTGGTCATTACCGTTTGTAAGACTAGTCGAGAGAGAGGGAGTCCTAGATTGAATTTCATGGCACAATACGAGTGCATCGCGTAGCCTCATCGGTGAACACTCTTCCACTATAGTAGGTATATACACATTAATTTGACCCAATTTTGAGGCTGAATGGTTAAGGCGTTGGACTTCTAACCAGCAGGTCATGGGTTCAAGCCTGAGGGGTTGACAAATCTGAGGTTAGGTACGTCTCGGTAATGACAACTTGTAAGCCCAGTTTTTTACGCCAGTTTCCCGGACCGTTGTCAGGCGTAGAGCAAGTGTACAAAAACATTTAGAACATGCTTAAGAAATCAATGCTGATTCTGAAGTAATGACAACGAGCAGCTGCCATGTGTACCAGTCCCTTTGTCCCCGAGATCTGTATACACAGTATCCAACTCAATATACCAATTAATACGCGATTTGTCTGAGTGCAGAACCACAAGGAAATCTCAGTCTTTCTTGGCAGGACAAACACCATCAAAGGAAGGGTTGAATCGCTCACCTGGAAAGCTTGACAAACCATGTCGATTGATAAGGATGCGATGGCAGACATGTTCACGAAAAATTTAAGATGTGTTGACACGTTAAGGACTAACTGAATGAGAGGTGCTAGATGTTGATAAAACATTTGACATACGCATGAATAATTCAACACTCGAAACGGAGACTAAGCAAAAAAGGATATATTTTGTGACAAGCTTCAAATTCGACGGCCCCAGGTAGCAAGCCCGGGGGATTGTAGAATTGAGAATCTGGCACATGGTTCGGAACACCTAAAACATTTTAAGTGATTAAGGACTTGCTCACCATATGGGGACTGATTGGGACCGTGTTCTGTGTGCAGCGGATACGGCGGGCCATCTTATCGATGATGCGAGACCTGCAGTGCTGGAGAAAATCACTAAAATCTAAACCCACCAATTTCGAGAACTTTCGATCAGCTTGTCAATCAATTCACCCAAAATAGGATCCCCGAGAAGTGAGGCCCTGTGAAGTTCTCCTAAGCTGGCATACCTATCCAGAGTTTTCAGCACATAAGTTTCTGGAAGAGACTGTCTGAAAAAAGCATCGGGAAACCTACTTGCCTCCGTTTTGGCCTGTTGCTGAATGCGAATACCGCCCAGTATTATGCCGCCCGTCATTCCCTCTAGAGAAGAATGCATGGAGAAAAACGAAAGATTAGGTGTAGTTGGTAGAAGGTCATAAAAGTGACAAGTTACACGGGGGAATTGCAGTATTTATAGGAGACGGAATGGGACATACGGTTGGAGGAGGAAGGAAACAGCCAGCTGGGCTTCACTGATATCCTCATTTACTATAAAGATTGTGATTGTCCAGTGATAAGGAAAACGACAAATACGATGCAAGTACTGAAATGTAACAGTAATCACCCAATCAGCCACAAAAGCAGTTGCGTAAGGGCGCTATATTCGC